GCTGTAGGTAAAAAACAAAATGGTGAAACAAGGAAAGTAATGGAAGCAGAAGAAAATAATGAAACGGTGCTTTGAAAAACAAAATGCCTCCGAGAAAATGAGGAAGCGAAAGAGATGAGAGTAGAAACCAAAAGAGATAGAGGGAGAAACACATCCTTAACATTTAAATGAGTCACAACAGAGGGCAGACAACCCCTCCCCTCGCCGCATCTGAATTCGGGACCTGGGAGTAACGAGGACGGCCAAACAACTGATGAATTTCCACCGGGAATTATTAAACCTCACTTTGCCTTCCTGATGAGCCTGCGTTCATAACGAGCGATAAAAAAATACCGCGCGGCAGCAGATGTTTGACTGCACGGGCTCGGAGAACGTTATCTGCAGTAAATCGGCAGTTAAAATGACTGGTGGTGTTTGTAATGTCATGGCGGATGGCGTAAAGTGTCAGAGCGGTTCCGCATGAAGGCGTCCTCTTCATGTAATAAAGATTCCTCGAGTCATCCAGAGAGCTTTGAGTCGTGTCGTGTCAAAAAGGTTGCAGTAAAATCAAAGTGCAAGTATTCAACGGCAGCATGTGCTGTATGTACAGCTGTGATCGGGTGTTCTATCAGCGACATCCCATCAATTATAAAACACAGCGTCTTCCTGCTTGTTACCAAGCGTGACATTAATTCACCATTCCTTTTACACAAGTCCTGTGGCTTTCTCTCAGGTGGAAATCACATGTAGACCCCCACCAAACACACACACACAGCCCCTTCGTTGTGTTGCTGGCAACCCCTGGAGGTCTGAGCGGTTGTGTGTTATGTAAGAGAAGCTCAGGAGACGAGAGGTGGGGGTTTCTCACACACTGTTCATGCTCAGGCTTATCGCCCCGGGGCTCTGCTATGAGCACGGTGTGACTGATAAGAAGTGTGTGTTTGTGAGAGACTGAAGAGAGAGGGAGAGAGAGTGTGTGTGCATGTGTGCATGTTTGAGGCTTTAACCATGCATGCATGTGTACGTGGAAAGATGTTATAACGTCAGTGTGCGTGTGTGAGGGTGGGAGATGAAGCGTAAAAGTGTGTTTCTTGTGTGTGTTTGTTGGCTTTCTGTCAATCTGAGTTGGAACCAGCTTTGATCTTCATTTTTTTCCTTTGCTTTCGCTTTTTGCTTTCACACTATTTTTAGCATAAAATGAGATCAGCCTTTTTCAGAAGCGCCATAAAATCTATTCTCTTAGGAAAAATAAATTTTGTAATTCACTTACATTTAAGTCATAACTCCCATTAAGACAATAACAGCAAAAAAGGACTTTATGGTCCAATTTTACCGTTACTTGCTGACATCATTGACGAAAAACTGGCATGGAGACCTCATATAAATAACTTAAGAACAAAAATAGCTAAATCTATTGCAGTAATGAATTATTTAATGATAAAGCACTCTTTACACTATATAATGCAATAACTGTTCCACATTTGATTTATTGTATAGAAGTCTGGGGAAATGCATGTAAACCATTACTAATTCTATTTTTATTTTACAAAACAGAGCCATAAGAATTATTACAAGAAAGCATTACTATCACTCTTCTAATATATTGTTTCATCAATTAAAGTTGTTAAAATTTCATGAGTTGGTTGATTATAACATTCTGCAGGTTATGTATAAAGCTCATAGAAATGTGTTGCTGTCAAACATCCAATCTAATTTTGCTAAAAGGGAAAGCTGCTATAATTTGAAGGGACTACAAATGTTTGTTAAACCGAAAATCAGAACAAATTCAAAGGACAGATGCACTTCAGTAAAAGGTATGGAATAATCTCAAAAATGACTATAAAAGCATTGGATCAGTTAATCCC